TATGCTCCTCCTCCTTTTTCTCCTCCTCCGGCTTCTCCTCCGACTCCTGCTCCTCGTCCTTTTCTCTCCCCTCCTCCCTCCTCCCCCCTCCGCCTCCTCCTGCTCCTTCATTTTCCTTCCTCCTTCTCCTCCTCCTCCTCCTCCTCCTTGGTCTCCCCCCCTCCTCCGCCCTCCTCCTTCCTCCTCCCCTCATCTCCCTGCTCCTCCTTATTCTCCACCTGCTCCTCCTGCTCGTCGTCGTCGTCCTCCTTCTCCTCCTCCTCCTCACCCTCCTCCGACTCCTCCTCCTCCTCTTCCTCCTCCTCGCCCTCCTCTTCATCCTCCTCCTGTTCCTCCTCCTCCTCTTCCTCCTCCTCCTCTCTCCCTCCTCCTCCTCCTCCTCCTCCTCCTTCTGCCCCTCCTTCCTCATATGCATCCGTACTTTCTGTTCAACTATCCTCTCGCTACAAAGGAATGAATAGGGAGGGGGCCAAAAGAACCCCAAGCTTCTTTTGGCACTTTGATGGCAGCTTTCTGGGGAGGCATTCCGCCTTCGGGGGGCCGTCTCGGGTCCCATCCTTGGCCGTCCTGGCGCCTCGGCGCCGCCCTTGCAGTCGAAGACGATCGTACTAAGTCGGGCACGTCCCTCTACAGGGGGAGTGTTCCCAAACAGTAGAAAATAATATGGGGACGACTTCTTATTGTTTTTCGCTGAGTTTGAGCATCTGGGGAGTATTTTTTTCATTTTTCCTCCAAAGCCTGCCTGTTTTGGGGGACATGCCCGACCTGACGATAATGCGGATGGGTGACCTTCGCAAGGGTACCCCGGATTTCGTAATAAAGGGAGGGGGGTCTCATTTCGGGGGGGGGTCTCTTCCAGGCTATCTTGGAGGGCCTGGGGGGGTCTGGGGACGATGTTTTGGAGGGTTCTCCCACGGGGGGGGGGTCTGAAACGGCTCGTCTTGGGGGGCCCAGACCCCCTCCCTTTTATTACGAACTCTGGAGTACCCTTGCATCCGTGCCTCTGTGGTCCATCCTTGGCTATCTTCAGCGGCCCGCCGCGCTCGACAGAGCTTGAGCACGTGCGTTCGAGGGGCCCGCGTCCTTATCGCTCGTGCCTGCCACTATATCTCATGGAGCAGATCCTGGGGAGGCTCGTCCCAGGGGGGTTGCCGGGGGAGGAGGAGGAGGAGGAGGGGGAGGACGAGGAGGAGGAGGAGAAGGCGGAGGAGGAGAAGGAGGAGGAGGAAAAGGAGGAGGAGGAGGAGGAGGAGGAGGAGGGGGAGAGAGGAGGTCACA